AGGGAAAGAACGACGAAATCAGCTCTGCCCTTTCCAACAAGGCGCAGATCCCTTCTTTGGTATATGAATGGGCAAGAATCCTAGGCACCATAAACTGCCATACGAAAAGAAACTAGTTTCTCCTCTCTCAGAATCCTGCGCAATCTGTAGTGAGGTTATAACTAAAGGAGTGATGAATGAAGTTCACCTTAAAATTATTATGCTAAACAGAAAATGAAACACCATTATTTTTTAACGCATCGAAACGGTGTACTTTAACGAGTACTTAGGAATATGACAACTAGAAAATCTTAAGGCCGGCAAGTAGAAAAAATCCTTAGAAACAGAAACAATTGATAACTCAGTAAGTTGTAAACAATACTGAAGAAAGGTCTCTTCCTTTAACACTTCAACGTTTTATTAAACTATATGACTTTCAATATCTTTTTAAAAAGTTTGAGTCAGTTAATGCTATATTGTTAATAAAGTTTAGGTATATGATACTTTCTCTGGGCATAGGAGATACTGTGATCTTTTTTTGTTCTAAACAGATGAGGAAAATCAAGCTTAGAAGTGGAAGAATCCACACTTAAACTTGCAAGGTTTGTACAATAAACTGATTCTTTAAAAAACCACCAGCACCTCCACCAAAGTAAACAGGCAAGAAAGTCATTCATTAACTGAACTGCACATTACAATGGATAAAGTAAAAAGGACCACATGGGTATTTGACCTAAACTTGACAAACATTCTATTATTTTTTATAATCATATTTATGAAATACACTATCAACATACATAGAAATAGAACTGTTCAATAATTTGAGTATTAAATGGCTAGCTTGAGGGCTCCATCTTCTCTACCGCTATGTAAACTGTTCTCTCAATTTAAAATTATAAAAAGGCACACAATACTCTGCTAGTAAGTTTTTAACTTGAAGAATGATTATATAATTACCTGAGTCATAAATCCTTCATTCTTAGTGTTTGTGGAACTGAAGTCAAGATTTTAACAGCATCTTTAATAATAACATAATTTTAATTGATGTCCAATGATAATTTCCTATTTGTAATTTGTTAAAGCTTTAATTGCCACATAATATGAGAAAAGAATTGTGTATAGGTAACAGAACTTTTGTTTTGAACATTTCTGACATCAACATCCCCTACATCAGACACTCTTAGCCTGGTATCCATAGATACCTATATAGAGCCCATGGGTGAGCTTGGGAAATAATAAAGTCTCAAGTTTTAGTATATGCAAAATTAGGCATGTTATGTGTGAATTTTTCTGAGAAGAGGGGAGGGTACAGACCTTAACATCCTCATTTCAAATAAATCAAGGAAACCAAGCCACATTTATTAGCAATTACTTTGAATCATAATCTATAGAAAAAAAAGGTTATGGATGTGCATGTACTATTTCAATTAACTACCACACAGCCTAATTACAGGAGGAAAAGAATAAACACTTTCTAGAAGGAGGAATATAGATATAGAATACACACATCTATGTTAATTTAACAAGATGTTTATACTTCCTAAAGAATTCAATGTACCATAGTAAATGTAGTCTCATAAAAGACAAGAATATATGTAGGAGAACTGAATCAAACAGATTTTATTAAACTTTTTAGGATGAGGAAAACAAATGATATAAAATAAGTCATAAGAAATGCTCTCTGGTACTACTATCTCAAACCACATTAAATGTTTTACAAAATACACAGCAAATATGAAAAGCTTCAACATACTCTTCTTTTATAACTTCTGCTGCAATAAATGCAACATTAACAAACATACAAATTTCTTCTATACTTCTTAAAAGTAGAATTATTGAACTAATTTTTACAATGTTATTCATACATATTTTTATTCATACGCTTTTAATGAGATCATTGCCAATACATACATTATTTTCCTTAACTTTATTTTTACATTAAGCCAGTATCTGTCATGCAGCCATCAAAAACCTTATAGTAAATTACACAGGTTTGTAGTCCAATTTAGACTCTAGCTTCTTAGAATCAGCCACTTTTCTGACTGCTTTCATGAAGTCTTCCTGTACTACAAAATCATGATCAGCACGAATTGCAAACATACCTGTGGAAAATAAAACAACATGACTGCTATATATAATATGTAAATTATTTGTTTATTATAAGAAAACTAAGGGGGGAGCTGGGTGAAATATTATAAAATAAATAAGTTCTGGAGATGTAAAGTACAGCATTGTGGCTATACTTAATTATATTGCATTGTATATTTGAAAGTTGCTGAGACTAAATCTTAAAAGTTCTTATCACAAGAAAAAACAATTTTGTAACTATGTGTGATGATGGAATGTTAACTTATTACAGTGATCTTTTGGCAATATATACAAATACCAAATCATTACATTGCACACCTGAACTAATATAATGTTATATGTAAATTATATCTCAATTTAAAAAAACTTTTAAGAAAACTAAATAATGTAACTGTGGAAGAACTCTGAAGAAGCCTAGATTTACTACTTCTCAGCCAGTAGTTCTAATTTGTCAAAAAACATTACCATTATTCAATTAATTTCCATAGCTACAGTGAGCATTATTTTCCAAACCAAAGGCTAGGAAACAGTTCGGGAGAGTATAGCTCAGTGTAGACTGCATGCATAGCATGCACAAGGTCCTGGGTTCAATTCCCCAGTACCTCCTTTAAATAAACAAACCAATTACCGCTTATCCCCCCCAAAACAAACAAACAAAAAGCTAGAGAACAATGAGACAATTATCTGGATATTTAAAACCCTGCTTACACATTCCCTGTATCCACTGGCATCTTGAAAAAACAAAACCAAACCTAACTATCAACAAAACATACACATTTGAAGCAGTAGTTTCCTAACTGCGTAGGCAGCAATTCTCTGGAAGGAGGGAGTCCATGTACAGTTTGGGAAAACACAAAACACCGCCAATAATTTTGATAACCTTTCCTTGTTAATAAGCAAAGCTTAGAGAATGAGAATTAAAGAAAGTCAACAGTAGTGTCATTATTCACACAGGAAAATTTACTTATGTATACAACAAATTGATATTTTATATAATTTTCATATTCAAGCGCCACAATTCAATTTTTTCTTTCAAGTTTAAAAGTTACCTGTCCAATACGACTTGACAAAGAGGTAAAAGGGATTTGTTGGTGGGGTTTTTTTTTGACATTAGTTGTGTCATGGATATGAGTCCCAGATTTTGAGGTAATCCTAATTTCATGATAAGCTAAAGATGGTAAATTATCACTATCTACTAATTAAATGAATCCTACTAATATTTTGATTGAGGAGCTGCTTACACTGAATTTTCACTAACATAAAATGAGTGGGTTGCAAATAGAAAATTTCAAGGGTTATTTCCCACCTTCCCTTTCAAGATTTCTACATAAGGGGTCCTGGCAATAGCCACTCTATGTTGTCCTCAGAAATCAGAATAGAAATGACTAGTTTTTTTTTACAGTGAAGTCTTAAAACTAAATTAGGCAAGTTATTTTTCCAAACCTTGTGCATATTACAATTTCCAAGTTACTATTTGGTGAATGAGTGAATCTGAGATACATTCTAATCCAAAAAGGATGGTAATCTTTTAAAAGATTAAAAAACACCTATAATTGAATCATCTAGTTTTTTAATTTATAGAAAGATATGTTAACAAAAAAGGCTTAAAGTCTAATAAAAAGAAAACTAAAGAATTTGACTATGTCTCTAAATGAGAATGTCCCACCCAGTTAAAAAGATTAAATTTTTAATCCGCACAGAAGTTATAGCTCTTTATTGGAAATAGCTAAAAATAAGTGGCGGGAAAAAGAGAATATCATAATTGGATGGCATCAACTTTAAGATTATGACATTGCTTTTGTTTGGATTCCAATTTCACTAAAGCAATCTTCTAATAATAATTTGGTCCAGTGTAGATTTTAGAATATGAATGTTATAAATTACTCCAGGCAGTTCAAGCCACATGACAGTTTACCTCTTACACTTTTATTTATTAATAAGTCTTTGTGAGCATGATTTACTCTGACTTCTACTGAGTTTCTGGACCTGCAGATCTTTGCTCCAGACACTGAGTCACAGTATACCCATGGAGATACTCCTGTGGAGAAGCTATGACTAAGCAGCCTCTGTAAACATCGTCTGTTCGATTTACAAGAAATGTTAAAATAAGGCTAAAGGTGCTATGAAAGAAGGAAATCATATATAGTAATCCCTTAAAAAGAAACTTCATCTGCAACCTATGAAAGTCAGTAACTATAAAAACTACTGT